GAACAAGGGCAGTATTTTATAATCTGCTGATGTCTTTTGGAAACTTTTTATAAAATATGTAGATTATTTTATTATCAGGTGCTATACCCACTTGTAATACACGTTACTACACGTTACTATAGGTTACTATGCAGATAACAACTTTTAAAATGAAGAGAAAGTTGGTTTTACTTTAGTATTTACCAGGTGAAGAAAGAAGAAGAAGCTCCGTGTAGCTTGTTTATACTGGGTTCCCACTGTCGTGTGATCGTTACGATAGAATTCCCCCTACTAAGTCCACGGTCTGGTACATTCGGATACGATCAACACGATTACTACGACTGTATTTATCTGGGGTGTGCATTGGAGAAAGTAGAAGAAGCTCCGTGTAGCTTGTTTATACTGGGTTCCCACTGTCGTGGGATCGTTACGATAGAATTCCCCCTACTAAGTCCACAATCTGGTACGTTCAGATATGTTTCGATACGATCAACACGATTACTACGACGTACCTGAATGTATGATAAGACCTGATAGGATCACCACGATTACTCCACAATTTCAATCGTGATAGTGCGAACCTAGCATATGTTGTAGGATAAAGCATCTATAGTATGTGTTTTGTAAAGTTTGGACCAGTAAATGCTTTCATATATGATGGGTCCATATTTTTTCATATATGATGGGTCCATATTTTTTCATGAATAATTTTGTATCTTAATACTGTTTTGTTAATGAATATTCTCTCACAATAATAATGTTCGTATTCGACGGCAGAAAAATATAATATTAGTGGTCACAATGGATTATTATCTTAAGAGTTTTACCGTGAAATGAAATGGGGTTTAACGTCCTACTGGTCTGCTCCGACTGGGCTAATGAAGACAGGCGTACGTCATACAGTGTGCTATGAGGGAAGTTTTGCCAAGGCAGCAGCGCTATGGCCTAATCTTATTTCGAATTCCAACTGCTAAGGGTTCTTTTACTTGCACGCCAATGTGTACAAAGAACCTTGGTTTTCCATTTCATCCACACGACTATATGATGTCCCACATCACTGACAAGGGGAAACTATGCTGGAAAATCCAGATGAACTTTCTCAGGGGAAAACTGGAATCGAATATGGAAACTCCTGCTCCGACTGGGCTAATGAAGACCAGGTTTTATTGTTAAATGACTAGAAATTTGATTTGGGTAAACAAAAAGTAAGATTGTCTATTTAATTGAGTTTGATTTACTTAGTGAAGTGGTCATCTGTCCATATTTAATGTTTTAGGTCCAATTTTGTGTTCGACTTTCGACAGTTAAAGCCAAAATCAGAACTAAAATTATTAAATAATGTTACTTCAGCTTAAATAGTTTAAATATATAATGAAAAATGAATATATTGAAAGTTTCATTCAAAATACTTTATTCTGAGCAAAGTTATGAATTAGAAGGTCTGACAAGATCTAGCGTAGATTGTCGATTATCTTAGCAATGGTACTTGACATTCAAGACTGAGTCTCAGTTATTAATTTTATCATTAAAATCAATTTAAATCTCTGCCATTCAATGATCTAGAGAGTTGATTATAGGCTTGTCATGTGTATAATAATTTATATAACATTTAAAGGCAAAATGGGAGGGGGGGCTGAATGGTTAGCGTGTGCGCGCTGTATCATAAAGTCTGTCATTAAGTTAACCGGCATGGTTTCGATTCCCCGGTTGTATGTGACAAGGAGTAGGGTCACCAGTCCAACCTCATGGGTTTTCTCTGGGTCCTTCGGTTTCCTCCCACTGCTAAAGCCCCCTACGCGCAAGCCAATTATTGAAATACAATTAAACCATATGTTAGTCCCGAAATGACCTAGTTTGTGTCGAGTGGATGTTAAACCACATCTCTCTCTCTCTCTCTCTCTCTCTCTGGGTCCTCCGGTTTCCTCCCACTGCTAAAGACCCCTACGCGCAAGCCAATTATTGAAATACAATTAAACCATATGTTAGTCCCGAAATGACCTAGTTTGTGTCGAGTGGATGTTAAACCACATCTCTCTCTCTCTCTCTCTCTCTCTGGGTCCTCCAGTTTCCTCCCACTGCTAAAGACCCCTACGCGCAAGCCAATTATTGAAATAAAATTAAACCATATGTTAGTCCCGAAATGACCTAGTTTGTGTCGAGTGGATGTTAAACCACATCTCTCTCTCTCTCTCTCTCTCTCTCTCTGGGTCCTCCAGTTTCCTCCCACTGCTAAAGACCCCTACGCGCAAGCCAATTATTGAAATAAAATTAAACCATATGTTAGTCCCGAAATGACCTAGTTTGTGTCGAGTGGATATTAAACCTAATTTCTCTCTCTTTAAAGGCAAAATAAAGACCTGTAATAGGCAGATTTAGTTCTTACATAATGCATCTTTTATAATTTGAAATAAAGATTTAATCGCTTAGATTTTGTATTTTACTGTTACCATTTTAAGCCAAAAACAAAACTAACTGACTTACACTTAAAGATACATTATGTAAGATTTAGATAAAGAGCTAGCCATTCATGCTATAATAGTTTGAAAATAGATAATGTAAAATGAATAATTTGAAAATTTCATTCAAATTACTCTTTTGCGAGCAAAGTTATTAGCCTTTGAAGGTTGAACAAGACCTGTGCAATAATTTCAACCACGGTACTGATTGTTCGAAGCTAAGTCTCGCTCCTTCATTTTTTAGCTTAAATCAAAATATGGCTGAACTGTTCTAATCTATTTAATATCGGAGAAATCCGATGCCATCAAGAGTTGATTATGGCCTGTATAAGTTAATTAATAATTTAGAAAACATTTCAGGTCTAAAGAAAGACCTGCAATAGGCAGATTTAGCTCTTGCATAATGTATGTTTAACAGTCAAATAATGGCCAATAAATAAAATTGGCAAAGATCTCCATAGCACTAATGCCTCTTATGACAGATTGTTTTACAGATTTTAAACCCTATTTCATGGCATTCTTTATCTTTTAGTGTATGTACTTATATAATATATGTATATCTTTGTAGTTTCAGTCCTAGATTATTTTTATTTTGTTAACACGTCTATGCATCTATGTGTAAATTTTATAAATTTTATTCTACTTTCATTTTCATGTATTATAATTTTTGAATTGTCTGAAATAGAGCAATACAATATTTACATGTACAATATTAAATTTTATAAACTTTATCCTACTTTCATTTTTATTTCATTGTATTACAATGTATTACAATTTGTTAATTGTCAGAAATGAACAATATAATGTAGTAAATTTTATCCTACTTTCATTTTCATATCATTTTATTACAATTTGTTAATTATCAGTAATGAACAATATAAATTTTATAAACTTTATCCTACTTTCATTTTCATCTCATTGTATTACAATTTGTTAATTATCAGTAAATAAATCATATTTGTTAAGATTTGTATTTTTATCACTGGATGATCTTGTCCTATTGATTTCCTAGTCTAGATTATCTGGGATCATGTTTTATCATCAACATTTATAGTTATATGTTTTGTAAATATTGGTTCAGTTTGTACAATTGTAGGCCTATATGTAGGCCTGAATCAATCATAAATTGTTTTTATTATTTTGTACAAATTTGTCAAAAATCATCATGATTATTTAAATAGCTCTTCAAAAAAAGCTGAATACTTCAGCAGACCAAGTACAATGAATCTTGACATGTTGTTCTTTGGATAATTTGTGCACTGATTTAAAGACAATATTTTGTTTGGTTTTGATGGCCTACACTACATGAAGATCTGACCAGTTGTAGTGGCGGGTCGCATCAGGTCATACGAGCGGCTTTTGACCTTATGATGTCAAACATTTGATTAACCAATCAGCTTTGATGTGTCTATTGGGTTACCCACAGATCTATGGACCTCAAAAACTTGCCGTAACAGACCGTTTCATTGGCTAATCCCTCACATCATCCAGAACACGGGTTTAAATTTATAACAACTCTTCCAGATCCTAGTGTAGTAAAGACAAATAAAACAAAATTTTGAACTATAAAAAACAAAACGAAATAGGATCTGTGTTTTAACCAGATTGATTTACAGACTCTTGATTTTATATATGATGATGTGTATGACATCATCCTCGATTCTCAAGAATATGGCCACAGAATGGTAAATGTATAATGTACAATGAATATAATGTTTTAAGTCATATTGTACTAAAATTACCAGATTTTAAATTGTAAATAAATATCAGGTATGTTATTTTTAAATGTATTTGTAAATATTTTTTTAAAATTTTGAGCTTCAACAAACATTTCACATACATGTAAAATCATGACAAATGAATAAATGGTTAAAATTAAAATACTATTTTGTGTTTATACTAGAAGGGAGGGAAAATAAAATGGGGTTTAATTCCCACTTTCCTGCACCATGAGGGTTCTTTTACATGCATGCCAGCATGTACACAATACCTATGAGGTAAAAATTTGTCAGGACTGTCGGCCTTTCTGCCTACACTTCATCCGATTCCAACTGTTGAGGGTTCTTTAACATGCACATTTCAAGGAGTAAGGTCGCCTGTCCAACCTCGTGGGTTTTCTCCGGGTGCTCTGGTTTCCTCCCACTGCTGAAGACCCCCACATGCAAGCAAATTATTGAAATAAAATTGAACCATGTGTTAGTCCTGAAATGACCTAGTTTGTGTCAGTCGACTTAAACCCCATTTTACTCTTAGCCTTTGAAGGTTTGACAAGATGTGTGCATTGTTTATTATCGTAATCACGGTACTGGTAGATTCACGGCTTAGCCTCGCTTCTCCATTTTTAAATTAAATCATTAAATGAATAAACCATTCTAATCAACTTAACATCGGAGACATCCGATGGCATCGAGAGCTGATTATGGTCTTGTTTTGTTAATAAATGCCTAATTAATAATTTAGATAACATTTCAGGCCTAAAGAAAGACCTGCAATAGGCAGATTTAGCTCTTGCATAATGCATGTTTAATATAATAAAATAAAAACAGAAAACAAATTAAAACAAAATATCTGCATAAATACTTTTATTTCTTATAAATACAATGAGTAAATATCGTGAATTATTGTTAATTTAAAGTCATTATATTAATTATTAATTCAATAAAATCGCAATAAATAAATAGCAATGGCTGTACATACACTACTGTTTATTATGCATCAATTCGTATCGATGGTCAGACCTGGTAATAACGGTTTTAGATGTACCTGACAAAATATCAGAAATAGTACCTGCCATTTTCAACTTAGTGCCTGACATGTATTAATAATATAAAAAAAAAGACAAATCAGTGCCAGACCAAAATGACAGTCACCAGAGGTTTTGTGCCTGACAAAACCTGATCTGTGTCTGACATTGTCTGTGACAGGTGCCTTATTTGCAGGCTTGTGTATGGTGATAACAGGTTTCTAACTTGAAAATGGTACCTGAATAACATTAAATTTTCTTTTTGCAAACTTAAGAGTTATCTTAACACTTGTAAAGTGATTTTAGCACTATTTCCAAGTGATTTTAACACATGATCCATTTATAATGTGACATTATTTCAAAGACATTTTTGGTCAATCAATTGGTTAAAATATGATACGTTACCCTTGAAATTATATCCCTTTTATTGCATTGCCCCCACATATACGACACATTTACACTGTGGTGTAATAATTATGCTTTGTCTCTCAAGTATGGTACCAAAAACCACAGATGAATAATTGTACCCAAAACCACAGATGAATCATTTAACCCAAAACCCCAGTTGAATCATTGTACCAAAAAACCCAGTTTAAAGAAGCATCATGTACGATTTATATAATGAGCTGGCCATTCTCGCTATAATAATTAAAAACTAGATAATGAAAAGGAAATATTTTGAAAATTTCAGTCAGATTATTTCATTCTGAGGGACTTTAGGGCTGTTTGGAGAATAGTTGAGTCTTGATTATCATTGCTACCGTTGGTATGATAGTAAAGTCATTGATTGCATAATGCATCTTTAAGAGATACCCCCCCCCCCCACACTTCTGTCAAACGTAACATGTAAACACTTGACAAATTAAACCACAACATGATGGATAAAATGATCTGGGTCCCTATTCATAACACTTAAACAAAAATATGTCAAAAATACAGCCATTTCATTGGTTGAAGATTAAAATCCTAGTACAAATTTTAGATCTTAACCAATGAAAATTACCTCTGTGAGAGAGAGAGAGAGAGAGGGAGATAGAGTGTAACCTCCACTCAACATGAACTAGGTCATTTTGGGACTAACAATATGGTTCAATTTTATTTCAATAATTTGCTTGTGCATAGGGGTCTTTAGCAGTGGAAGAAAATCAGAGGACCCGAAGAAAACTCACGAGGCTGAACAGGCGACCCTACTCCTTGTCATGTACTAGGGAGGAATCGAAACCACCCCACTCGAATTTAAATAAAGCAAATATATAATAATAATTACACACAGACGAAGTAATAAAATATTGACATTTAAGCTAAAATTGAGCATACAATAAATTTTGCATATTAAAATTATCTTTGGTAAAATGATGATGATAACTAAGAAGTAGAACTCTACCCATGATATAAAATTATCCTATTTAAAATCCAATCTGATTAAAATACAGATCTATATTTCGTTTTATTTTTTATACATAAGGGGTCGTACGAGCGGCTTTTGACCTTATGACGTCTGACATTGATTTATCAATCAGCGATGACGTTTCTAGTGGTTTACCCACAGTTCCGTGCATCGCACGCCAAGAACTTGCCGTAACAGATGGTTTCATTGGCTAATCCCTCACGCCATCCAGAATGCCGGTTATATAACAACTGTTCCAGATCCTAGTGTAGTAAAGACAAATAAAACGAAATTTTGAACTATAAAAAACAAAACGAAATAGGATCTGTGTTTTAATCAGATTGTTTAAAATCAGTTTACACTTTCATTTCATTTATTTTGAAGGTTTTTACACTACATGAAATGAAATGAAATGGGGGTGTAATGCTCTACTATCCTGCATCAACCTGGCTAGTGAAGATGTGCATCATAGAGTCTGCTGTGAGAGAAATTTCTACTTCCCAATTTTTGAAATTATTAAATTCCAATAAACTATAACATACTTTGGGAAAAACAGCTACTTGTTTTTTTGGCTGACGTTTCGAAGAGTATTCTCTCAACATTATTAACTAAATAAACCAGTAATTGTTCTTCCATAAGTATATGTTTATAGTTTATTGCTCTATCCAGTTACTAAATGACTATCAAAGATTATTAAATTACAAGTTAGTAGATCTACCTCGAGCTTCCTTTTTGAATTAATCAAATTCCAAGTTAGTAGATCTACCTCCCCCCATAAATTAAATTCCTAGTTAGTAGATCTTCCTCCCTTTTTGAATTAATTAAATTCTAAGTTAGTAGATCTACCTCCCTTTTTGAATAAATTAAATTCTAAGTTAGTAGATCTACCTCCCTTTTTTAAATTAATTAAATTCCAAGTTAGTAAATCTACCTCCCTTTTTTGAATTAATTAAATTCCAAGTTAGTAGATCTACCTCCCTTTATGGAAGTAATTAAATTCCAAGTTGGTAGATCTACCTCCCTTTTTGAATTAATTAAATTCTAAGTTAGTAGATCTACCTCCCTTTTAGATTTTAATTAGTAGAGTTACCTATTTACCCTTTATTATTAATTAAATTTTAAGTTAATATAATTGTTTAAATCCTATAGTGTAAGAAACATTATTTAGGTAAATATTTATTTTCTGCTTGAACTAATTCGTGATCATTCTGTAATCGGAAGATTTCTTTAACAGGTACAACCTATAACAAAAAGAATTGAAATGAATTGGGATTAACATTCTACTATAACAAAAACTTAATGAAAACAAGTAGAACATTTTACTTTAATAAAAAAATAAATCTAACGAAATGAAATGGTAACCTCCAGACACAAACCAGGTCATTTTGGGACTAACCTATGTTTCAATTTTATTTCAATAATTAGTTTGCGCGTAGGAGTCTTTAGCAGTGGGAGGAAACTGGAGGACCATGAAAAAACCCATGGAGTTGGACAGACAACCATACTCCATGTCACTACAACCAGGGAATCGAAACCGTTGACTCAATGACAGGCCTTATGATACAGCGTCAGAAGAAGTAAAGTCATTATGCCTCCTGTGACCAATTATAAACTATTTCCACCGACAACCCCATTACTTGGCACGTACAACCGGGGAATCAAAACCACCCTATAATACAACGTCATTAAAGTAAAGTCATTATGCCTGTTGTTATCAATCATAAACTATTTCCACCGACCTTTTTTTCTTTTTCTATTCCTATTAAACTTTGTTCTTTATATATTTGAGCCGTGACATCCTGCATGGCCTTTACAGACGTTCGTATATTATGATTGGCCCATATCACCATGGAAACACCCCAATCTTTAAATTGCTGTGTTGGTGTTGTGTAATATTTAGTAGGTACTATGACAACAGGTGTCTGAAAATCAATGAAATAATATATTGATACTAAATGATTTTTTATAAATGGATACAAAAAAAATATTCTGGGTCTCGGACAAACCGTCCAACAACTCCTAATCACACTCCCTCCCTCCCCTCCACTAAAAGGTCAGACCCGTATGTGTTTAGCCTCTATCTTTCAGACGGATATGCTATGAAAATTAGTCTGAATGAATTGTCAACATTTGAGCATATCAGGGTCATTGGCTAGATTATCCAGTCGTGTATGCTACCATGTATACGAAATCTACTTTTGTCAATCAGAGGATGTAAGGGAGATAAATAGATCCCAAAACCATTAGTTGACACCCAAGAAATCATGTTCAAGAATTGTCATATCAGACAAATCTATTACCATTGACTGTCCAACATCCAACACTCTGAAGTTGTTTTATTGTAAAATTTCTCTCTGTGGGTTTTTTTATTATCTTGATTCCTTTTCACGAGAAGGGATACAACTCTTGCTTGACTTTAGCTAAAATTTGAACTAAAAAGTTTCATTGTCCATGTGCAACCAGGAGTTTGGTTATGTATGTGGTTGATTATCCAGTCACATTTCTTCAAATGTGGACAACTGGCTCAGACCCGTACTTCTGGATGACAAAGACTACTGGTAGTATGTGTGGGAAGAGAATGCATATACGGTCGAGCGTCCACTCCATGCTGAATATGTATGAACCTGGGATAGAACACATGACTTGCAGTGCCGTCGACTCCCCCCCCCCCCACGCAACACAATCCACCCCCACCCTCAAAACATATGCAAAATAATCTACTTACTTTATGATTCCAGGCTTTCATGAATGCTTCTATTTCTGATGGATCACTTTTTTTACTGTGCATTAATATAGCATCAGCACCTGAAAATATTATTCACATAATTAATATTCAGTTAACAAAAAGTTGTCTTAATGAAATTGTGGAATCAACTCAGTCAAGTGGTCCAGTTTTTAATCACAAGGTCGACTGAGAAAGTTGCCTTGGATTTTCAAGTATCATATCCCCTTGTCAGTGGTGCAGGATGGAGGGCCTGACAAAGACAGCTGTCTAGTAGTTTGTATGGGACAAAAAACTAAGGTCCATCGCTAGCCTGGAGATTGCAGGTTCGATTCCGGTGTTGGCCGAGAAAGTTCATCAGGATTTTCCGGCTTGGTTTCCCTTTGTCAGTGGTACAGGATGGAGGGCCTGGCAAGGAATAGTCTCTAGTAGTTCGGATGAGACAAAAAACAAGGTTATGTGCACACGTTGGTGTGGAAGTAAAAGATCCCTTGACAGTTGGAATAAAATGTTGCCTCCGGGGAAAAATTTCCCTCATGGCACACTGTATGGTGTACTCCCATCTTCATTAGCCCGGTTGGTTCAGCAAAGTAGGAAGTTAACTTCCACTCAACACAAACGAGGTCATTTCGGGGACTAACACATGGTTCAATTTTATTTCAATAATTCATTTGGGTGTAGGGGTCTTTAGTAGTCTGAGGAAAATGGGGGACCCAGAGAAAACCCACGAGGTTGGGCAGGCGACCCCGATCCTTGTCATGTACAAGCAGGGAATCGAAACCATGCCACTTGACTCAATGACAGACCTTGTGATTTAATGTGCACGTGTTACCATTACTGTGTTACTATAAAGGTGACATGGCATGTATTACTGTAAAGGTGACATGACATGTACCAACAGGCTAAAATGATCTCATGACATGTACCAAAGGGTTTAAAATCCAGCATGACATGTACCAACAGGATGAAATGATCTCATGACATGTACCAAAGGGTTAAAAAAAACACCATGACATGTACCAACAGGCTAAAATGATCCCATGCTATGTGCCAAAGGGTTAAAAAGAATTACCAACATTACTGTAAAGGTGCCATGACATTTACCAAAGGGTTAAAAAGGTGCTATCACATGTACCAAAGGGTAAAAAAGGTGTTAAGACATGTACCAAAGGATTAAAAAGGTGTCATGACATGTTCTAAAAGGTTAAAAAGGTGTCATGACATGTTCCAAAGGGTTAAAAAGGTGTCATGACAAGTACCAAAGAGTTAAAAAGGTCCCATGACATGTACCAAAGGGTTAAAAAGGTGTCATGACATGAACCAAAGGTTTAAAAAGAATTACCTGCATTACTATAAGCTTCAGATCGTTTTAAGGCTTCTTCTAACTCCCAACCTGCGATAAACGCTTCTACACGAGCTACGATACAAAAATTAGGATCCCGTAACGAATCTTTACAAGCCTATAAAAACAAGGTTTATTATTAACGGTAAATAAATGTGATAAAATGATCGAGGGCAGGACAATAATGGTATGCCAACATCAAAGAGAGAGAGAGAGAGAGAAATGGGGTTAAACATCCATTCCACACAAACTAGGTCATTACAGGACTGTGATAGAGTAAAGTATAACTCTACATGTACATACCACATTAATTGTGAAATATTATGTATTTAAAGTTTTATATATATTTTATTATTAATACACATGTTCATTTCATATATACATATATTTTATTATTATTTAAATAATTTGCTTGCATGGTGGGGTCTTTAAGCTGTGAGAGGAAACAGGACGACTCGGGGAAAACCCATGAGGTTGGGCATGCAACCATATTCCGAAACCACACCACTTTACTCAATGACAGACCTTATAAACTAGGTCATTACAGGACTAACATATTGTTCAATTTTACTTAAATAATTCACTTGCATGTAGGGTTCTTTAAGCTGTGCGAGACAACAGGACGACTCAGGGAAAACTCAAGAGGTTGGACAGGCGACCATATTCCGAAACCACACTACTTGACTCAATGACAGATCTTATAATCTAACGAGCACGCGTTAAACCACCAAACCTCCCTACACATGTATTTTAACAATGATTTCTGCATTGGGTCAACATAGTGATCTATAAAGTCAGTGCCATACTAACGAAGCTACGACATAAAAAAAAATAATTAAGAATTGTAGAGAGAGAGAGAGAGAGAGAGAGAGAGAGAGAGAGAGAGAGAGAGAGATGGGGTTTAATGTCCACTCGACACAAACTAGGTCATTTCGGGACTAACACATGGTCCAATTTTATTTCAATATCTCGCTTGTGCGTAGGGATCTTCTCCTTGTCACGTACAATCAGGGATCCGAAACCATGCCAGTTGACTCAATGACAGACTTTATGATACAGCGCGCATGTGCTAACCATTCAGCTATCCGACCTCTCTTAGAATTGTAGACATCAAAATTTACCTTTATTTTTAAAGCGAATTCTTCCATGTCAGCTAATGGTTGATGTCTGTCGTCATGGAGACTGTTTGTTTTTGGAAATAATTTATCTTCAAAACATGCGCCTGCAACACCTCGTTCCTCTAATTTGCCCACTAATCTACGAGCATTATTAAAGTTTCCGTATCCTGTGTCGGCATCAACTAATATCGGTATTTCCGTTGCTTCACTCATAAACTCTAAAATATCAACGACTTGAGTCCATGATGCCTCGTTACTGTCCCTTACACCCATTTGTGCCGACATGGCTAAACCACTTGCCCAGATACCCTGAAAACCTGATGATAAATAAAATGTAATTAATACAACGCACACAAATATACTGTCAAGTATATCAATAATTGTTTTATTGGTGAAGGGGATCACGGTGGCTAAGTGGGTTAGACTGGAGGTCAGGTTTTCGATCCCTGCATTGGTTCCTCCTTGTCAGTGATGCAGGACGGAGGCCCTGACAAGGACAGCTGTCTAGTCGTGCGGATGGGACGAAAAAACGAGGTCCCGTGTACACATTGGTGTATACATAAGAGACCCTTTGACAGTTGGAATTCGATAAAAGAGTAGACCTTAGTGCTGCTGTCCAGGCAAAATTATCCTCATAGCACACTGTATGGCGTATGCCCGTCTTCATTAGCCCAGTTCGAGCAGAACAGTAGAACGTTAAACCCCATTTCATTTCATTTCATTTACATATTTCATTGGATGGATTAATGGAGGAAGAAATTAAGATGGTAATATTGTTGTCACCACGGTTTATCAAGACCCTATAATTACCTTTCTATGGTTGAATTAATATTGGGTTACCTTAACACTGATATATAACATCTTAGAGCATAGTCCTCTTAACGTAGGAGCAGAAAAGTAGGATGTTAAACCCCATTTCATTTCATTTTCTCTTAAGGAGTATTCTAATAAAAATGTTTATCCCCCAATAATACATTCTACAGTAGATATCGTTTGAGTGATATATTTCATAATCTACTGCGATATCTCCTTAGGATTTGATTGGTCAGTTGAAAAGGAACTACTTTTTTTTATTTTCAAATAACAGTTCATTTCTTATTAAAAGTAACTTTTTTTAATATTAAAAATGAACTATTGTTATTCAATTGACCTTGATGGAAACACTGGGTCAATATAAAGGACTTTGCAATGGTTGAATTGCTGTCAAAAAATGATGTATCTCTACGCCATAATGTTCAGTAAAAGTTAAATCTACAGCAAAGAATTATATTTATCTATTTGTGCATGTAAGAAGGGATTGGGTGATAAATAAAATCTCCTACTCATCTTTTTTGATATCAAAAAATATCAACACTCGTTGATAAAGTAAAAAAAAACTCGGCAGAGCCTCGTTTTTTGTTACTTTATCAACTTGTGTTGATATTTTTTGATATCAAAAAAGACTGGTAGGAGATTCTCTATATGTTAATGCTAATATTCTAATTCAACCACAGAAAGGTAATTATAGGGGTCTTGATAGACCGTGGTGACAACAATGTCAACTCTGAATTAAGATAATATCAATATTTACCTGCTTCTTCAACTATTTTAGCACTAAGACCGTTATGAGCTTCCATTATATATTCTAAATTTGATGATGTTAACATTTTCTTTAACGCTGCAGATTTCTGTAAATACATAAAAACATCATTATAATAATGGTGATCATGGCTTTAAAGGTCACATGTCGAGATTTGGTATTTTTTTATTTGTGATCTTCATTAATACCGTATGTACCTATATTATCATCAATACGGTTGCCTTGCTTGAAACATGGGATAAAAAAGATTTAAAGGTTAAAAGTCAAATGACATGATTGGTACTTTTTTTTATATTTATGGTCTTCATGTGTTATCATCATATATTTGTTAAAATGGTCTAATATCAATAAAGAGAGAGAGAGAAATGGAGTTTAATGTCCACTCGACATGAAAAGGGTCATTTTGGGACTAACACATGGTTCAATTTTATTTCAATAATTCTCTTGCACGTAGGGGTCTTTAGCAGTGGGAGGAAAACGGCGGACCCAGAGAAAACCCATCAGGTTGGACAGACGACCCTACTCCTTGTCACGTACAACTGGGGAATCGAAACCACGTCAGTTGACTCGATGACAGACCTTATGATACAGCGCGTACGTATTTACTATTCGGCCATCCAATCCTCCAGGTAGATTTTAAAGCCTTGCTGTAAGGTTGGTTACCTGCCCTTTATCAGCATATTTATTTCTATGGTTAAAATAACCAAAATGAAAAGAAATCAAGGGCGGATCCAGAGGAGGGGTTAGGGGGGTCGACCCCCCCCTGCTCAGCTACATAATTTTTTTGTATATCAACACTTTTTATGTGAAAAGTTTCTCGCCCGTGTGCTTTATCCTTAATCGTCAGATGTGGGACAGGATGGGCACTCAAAGCACAAGATAATGATATAGACATTATGTGATATCACAATTAATGCTTTGCATCCATGAAATTAAATCACACTGTCATTGTATTAATTCATAATAAAAATTGACGTGAAACGAGGTGTTGAATTTCTCTGTTTAAAAAGCTCAATGTGTATGTATATACGCCAAAATGACAATAGAGGCAATGCGGGATGGGGGGGGGGGGGGAGGGATACATTGTCTCAGGAACCTGGCAAACCCCCTCCTGCAAAAATTTCTGGATCCGCCCCTGGAAATGGGGTTTAATGTCCTACTTGTCTGCACCAACTGGGCAAATGCAGATGGGCATGGCATGGCATGCAGCGTACTACAAGGTGCTACAGACTACTCTTATTTTGAATTCCAGCTGTCAATGGTTGACTTATGTGCATGCCAATCTGTACATATGACCTCAGTTTTTTGTCCCATCTGTATGACTAGACACTGTCCTTGTCGGACCCTCTTTCACCACTGACAAGTGGAAACCGGTTGAAAATCCAGAGAGAACACTGGTAGAGAACCAGAGACCTCATGGTTAGAGAGAGAGAGAGAGAGGTCATTTCGGGACTAACATATGGTTTAATTTTATTTCAATAATTCGCTTGCGCATAGGGGTCTTTAGCAGTGGGAGGACACGTACAACCGGGGATACAGCATGCACGTGCTAACCATTCAGCCATCCAACTCCCCCTCATGGTTAGAGAGCCAGCCTCCCCATATATAACAGAAAAGAGGCGTGTCTGGATAATTTTTTTACAGTATATCAATCTTACCTTGGCACCATGTGCTGTATAATATCGACATTGTGACAATCTGTTGGATTTATCTGGAATTAAAATAATAATTTTCATTCGTAAATATGGCAATTAATATAAAACATCCTTCTATAGATACACTGATTGATTCACTAACTTTTGTTTTGAGTATTGCGTTTTCAGATAGTTTGAGTGTTGTTTGGGTATTGTGTTTTCAGATAGCTTGAGTATTGTGTTTTCAGATAGTTTGGGTATTGTGTTTTCAGATAGTTTGAGTATTGTGTTTTCAGACAGTTTGAGTGTTGTTCGGATATTGTGTTTTCAGATAGTTTGAGTATTGTGTTTTCAGATAGTTTGAGCATTGTGTTTTCAGATAGATTGAGTGTTGTTTGGGTATTGTTTTCAGACAGTTTGAGTATAGTATTTTCAGATAGATTAAGGGGTGGGTTGAGTGGGGTGTGTTACAGGATATTGGGAAACAATAGTCTTTGATTGCTGCAAATTTGTTTTCCTTATAATTTTTTTGTCTGTGAGGGAACCATGAACCCCCTAAAAACATCAACGTTTATGCTTCTAAAATCCAAGTGATTCCAATCCATTTTATAACATTTGATACCACTTCTCAATTAAAAAGAAAGTAAACACAGATAATTTATGGACAGTGGGGAACAAGGCAAAACATTAGATGCATTTGCACCATGAGTACATTCAACATTGGTTGCCAGGCTGCACAACCTACATCCCCGAGTTCAATCTGTTTCACAGAGGTTATTGCGAAAACTCATAGCTCTGTAAAAGATGACTGCTTTCAGTATGTGACGTCACATCTTGCGGCGTCAATCATTGGCTTAATGCGCATGCATTGTTTACATAAGGCATTACTGGTTTTTATCAGAATGGTGCCTTTTACTCACTTTACATACCCATTTACACTAAATATTTTTTACCTACATATACTTGAAACACTTTTATCTATTTTTCTAATGCTTAAAAAATATGTTCTAGAATTTAATTTGCAGAAGGAAAAAAGTTAATATTGGGGGCTCATTAAGCCGCATCGATGTCATCCCTATCAGTGATTGTTGCTGACTAGAGAATATTCACTGCTGATCAGTGTGTCCCCAACTAAGTCATCCAGAAAAATACGAGCTCCGAAAATTTGAAGAAGAGGAGAATATAATTAAAGGTTCTAGGGTAAAAGGATAAACAACCATTAGAAAAAATATATGTTAACAACTGCACGTTATATAGTGCTAACCAAATTCTGTAACAAAGGAGCATAACTCTAAAACTTATTAACAAAAAATGTTGGAAATCTATAGACTTCTTTATTATAATGGGATAGACAGTGGATATCAATACTATAAAAACCATGCAATATTGTAGCCACTATTGAAGCCCACAATAAATGTGAACAGCATATGGTTAGCGAGACAGATGTGATAGCAATTTGCAACCACATTAAAATGTGAACTTATAAAAACTCAATAATAAGTAATATTCTGAATAACTGATATTTCATCTAAATTTTGTTACCAAGCTGTTTCTCAATAACATAATTTTTATAGAAATTTTGTTATTTTGCTGATTCTTGATGGCTGCTTTTTTGGGGGTGGAAAATTTTGTTATTTTTATTCTGAATAATTGATTTTTAATCTTAATTTTGTTATTTCACTGTTTCTCAATCTTAATTTTGTTATTTCGTCTGTTTCTCAATGACTGATTTTTAGTGGATATTTTGTTATCAGTTACTTCTATTTTTAGCACATTACACTATAAACCCCAGAATGCCTTGTACGGCATTTTTGCCCAAGCGTGGCAAAAACGTGTTAAAATTTTTGACACAATTTTACCACGTTGTATCGTGGTAAAAACAAAATGCCATTGTTTGTCTGGAGTTAAAAAAAGTATTTTTTTTAAATTGCCATGTGTTTGGGACGAGGTATTTTGTCCAGAACAAGGCTGTTCAGAAGGTTGGATACATGATTTTTCAAAAGGGTTGGGGGTGGGGTTCAGCCAAACCAAAGTCTCGTCAAGCGTATTGAGGACAGCATAATATTATTTGGTGACACTTTCAAGCGATTGTGCAGAGATATAAACACAAGGCAAAAGTCGACTAGAAATGACATTCGTTGCATAAAAAGAGGTTGTTACATTCTTTGTTGCAGTTTCATATGTTCACACAATATTTCCAACAAAGAGATGTGAGAAATGAAAAACAGCCAAGTTCAAATCGGAGCGAACTCAATAATTGTATTTTAGGTCTTTGAAAATTATTAATTACAAATATGCTGTTCCTGTTATTATATAATAATTCATAGCGAGCCAGCGTCTTACCCACTTAGCCACCGTGACCCCTGACTATAAATGAGATATTTTATTGTATAATAATACATGATCAGATAAGGATGTTAAAAGGGCACCTGTTCAATTTTTATATTAAATATAATGAGATAATTTCTATACAATCTATATATTTGTGTAGTTACTGAGAAATTTCCACATACCAACAGACCTCCTGTATTTGATGTATTGTCACTCTTTGTTTACAGATTCTATAGGACATTTCATCAAATTAAATATCTAAATTTTGTCAAAATCTATTTTGTGATCTTATTCACTAATGAAATGATATGAAATGGGGTTTAACGTCCTACTGTTCTGCTCCTAACCTGGGCTAATGAAGACGGCCATACAGTGTGCTATGAGGGAAATTTTGCCCAGGCAGCGGGGCTACGGCCTACTCTTATATCAAATTCCAACTGCCAAGGGATCTTTTACGTGCACACCAATGTGTACACGGGACCTTGGTTTTTCGTCCCATCTGAATGACTAGAAAGCTGTCCTTATCAGGCCCTCAATCCTGCATCACTGACAAGGGGAAACCACTCCGGAAAATCTGGATGCCGGCTAATGAAGATCGGCATACACCATGCAGTGTGCCATGAGAAATATTTTTCCCAGACAGCAGCTACGACCTACTCTTATTTTAAATTCCAACCATCAAGTGTTCTTTAATGTGCAATACAATGTGTACACAGGATATTGGCTATTGGTTTTTCCTCCCATCCAAATGACTAGACATTGCTCCTTGCCAGGCCTTTGGTGAGGTGGGGGGGGTGTTAGGTGAGAGAGAGAGAGAGAAATGGGGTTTAATGTCCACTCAACACAAACTAGGTCATTTCGGGACTAACATATGGTTTAATTTTATTTCAATAATTCGCTTGCGTGTAGGGTCTTTAGCAGTGGGGGGAAACCGGAGTACCCGGAGAAAACCCACAAGGTTGGAGAGGGGGTAGGTGGTCCAGTGGTTTAACACAGGTGTGTGAAATCACAGGGTCTGTCATTGAGTCAAGTGATATGGTTTCGATTCCCTGCTTGAACGTGACAAGGAGTAGAGTCACCTGTCCAACCTCATCGGTTTCTCTGGGTTCTCATGTTTCCTTCCACTGCATTGAATGTGTCGAGTGGACATTAAACCCCATTTCTCTCTCTTTACAATTTGTCCCTTTAAAACAGTAAATAATTTATCGAGTTACCATATATAAAAATCAGATGTTCAAACATTCAACTTTATTTAGATAGCGTGAACAATGTAAATTGTCGAACTTAAGTCAGTCGGTAAAGAAAGTAGGCCGAAACTACAGGGCAACGTCTTTTAAAACAACTCGATATCAAATTTTCACTCTCCACTTTGGTCTTGTATAGGCCTTAACAAACGTGGCATATGAACCGGGGGGCGGGGGGCTAAACTACAGGTCAATGTCTTTAAAACAACTTGATATCAAATCTCCACTTTGGTCTTGTTTAGACTTTAAAGATACATTATGGGAGATAAGATAAAGAGCTGGCAGTTCTCACTATAATAGTTAAAAACTAGATAATGTAAAGTCAATTTGCTGAAACTTTCAGTCAAATTGATCCAGTATGTACCGAGAATTAAGCAATCATCATTACTAAAGTCTGTATGATAAAAAAACATAGTCTCGATCATCCATTTCATGATTAAATTATGAATGGAAGTCGAGCAGCAAATGGGATCATAATCCAGAATATATTGCAGGTTAGCAATGACATCGAGAGTTTATTATGGTCTGGATAAATTAATTAATGTCTAATTAATAATTTAGATAACATTTCAGGGCTAAAGAAAGACCTGCAATTGGCAGATTTAGTTCTTGCATAATGTATGTTTAAATCAGTCTGAACATGTAGGAGTATATAATATCCAGTCTGCCCCAAATCACTAATCCAGAGCAGGTCAGTATAAACTTAGACATCGGCTGATTTATAGAACAGTGCACCCGTTCTTAAAGGAGCTGTTTACAAAGCATTCTCAGACATAAGTTAAAGTTGCAATTTCATACTTTTAAGTTATATTTTTAAAATGTATTAAAATAAAGCCTTCAAATAGATGGTATCTATAGACACTCCTACCTTGTTAAAGAATAATCCTATTAATCCTATAATTCAATATTGCCAGTTGAGAAATTGGCAAAAATATCATTTTCAACTTCAAATTCAAACGTTTGAAGATATCTATTCCATGGGGGGAATAGAAAAACATGGGAGGTAATTGTGTTATTATTTCCGGGGTCAAAGGATTTTAAGTGGGAGAATAATACCTATGATCGTATAATAGTGAGTTGACAACCTATTGAGCAAAAGACATAGAAATAATTATGTTTTGACTTTCTTAGAAAATATGAAATTATCGCTTTAAAGGAGCTGTTTACAAAGCATTCTCAGACCTAAGTTAAGAATTTACTCAACTTTCAATCATTGTTTAGGAGAAATATCTTTAATCGAGAAATAAAAAACTTTGCACATAGTTTTTATTGATGTATTTGGTATATTAAAACAACAAAAGTTTTATAAAGGGCTATATTTTAGTTTAAAAAAAGGTGAATAATTTTGAGAAAATAAATTCTTAACTTAACTCTGAGAATGCTTTGTGATCTTGGGGCCAAGGCTGTAGTGACTGCTGATTTTGTTATGAGGAAAGGAAATGAAATGTGGTTTAACGTCCTACTGTTCTGCTCCTAAACTGGGCTAATGAAGACGGGCATAC